ATTGTTTGGGTAAACCCCATGCAAAAAAGCCCCCAAAAACATGAGGACCCCTAAAAATCCATACCAGAACCTTATCTTAGTTTGGAAACCAACATTTTGACCCGCGCCATGCCGATTATCTCCCCTATGACTGCTTTTGCGCATGATAGATCCCCAACGCTGATGGAATATAAACCATATATGTTCAGTGATGTCACCTGGAATCCCAGCTGGCTTTTATACAATGTGAAACCAGAGACAAGCAGGCAATGAACATATTTGATTTGCATTGTATGTAGTGTAGGAGCTCATAATAGCTAAATTGCACATCAACACCATTTCGCTTTCTGTCCTTAATGTTGCTGTTACATGAAATTGTGGCGCCACCATGTGGACACCTGAAAAACTACACCTGACTGTAAATAAGATCTATGAAATGTGCTGTTAGGTTTAGAAAGCCTTTAAAGTAAACCTGCAACCTGCAGCCAAAATGTTTCAGAAGAAAATAGCAGCTACAGACTGGAATGAATGAATGAATGAAGATTTTTTTTTATTATTAAATTACAAAATGGTTTCTGAAGTTATTACATTTCTTATTAAGGTTGAGTTACCACCATATATATTTGCTGGGACAATCCTCTGTCGTGGTCCTCTGTACTGATGGGCCATGACCTGGGATTCAAACATATAATTTTTGTCACTGCAAAAAATTACAGAAAAGGATTGGAGCAACACTTGGGGAAGGCCACTGCTCCCGGACCAGCAAGAGTTTGAGTTAAGTTAAAGCAGAACTCCAGCCCAAAACACCAAGATAAAAATAATAATAGCCCAATAAAAGATAACACAGCAAACCAGTTTTTGCAGTAATATTCATCTTCAAACCAGATATTTCCTCTACAGTATTTTTTTCTGCTACTAGATGTCCTCAGTCTGATGGCTGGCGTTATTCAACCCACTTCTTCTGAGCCTAGGTGATCCTGGACCCGCCCCCACTCTGTGACTGGACAATGGAAGGAGAAGCAGCACAGTGATGAGCTCGTCTCTCTGCCACTCTGCTCTCACCTCCTATCACCATTAGACAGGCAAGCCGGCAAAAAAATAGTTTCGCTTCTGATTTTTCTTTCATTTTTCGGGATTTGGGTTAGAAACTCAAATAATTTTTCAAGTCATTTCGGTATTCAGATTAAAATTTTCGTTAAATCTGGATGAGTTAAATGATCTTTACGAACAAAAATTTGTTGCAGAAATGTGACATTAAAAAAAAAGTGACATGCTTATTTTTTTCTTTTTAGCTTTTGACAGTCGACAGAAACAATAAAAACAATAAAAAGGTGTGGGGGGTTGCCCCTAAAATCCCTTACCAGACCCTTGATCTGAGCAGCAGCCTGCACAGTGGCGGACCTAATAACCAAAGGGCCCTGGCTGGTGCAAGATTTTATCTTGGGCCCCCCTCCCAAGATGGGGGGGGGGGGGGTGGC